TTGATTAACAACATTAGGAGAATCATTGGTTTGAGTGTCTAAGGACTGAAAAGGGTTTCTAACTCTTACTTTCTGAGCTATCAGGTGGTTTAAAGATACAATTTATGTACTCAGAGCTCTAAATATCAAATCCCAAGATGTCTTCAGAAGTTTTGATGTCACATGCCTGCTCATTAATGTTCCAATTGAGAAATCCTCCATATCACCCAACAATAGTTGTTGAATTATAATTTTCTTGCATACATAATTGACATGAAGACAGAAGCTATTATGGAACTAACTATTGTTCGTCTACAGTACACATACTTTCAACACAGTGATGAACCTTGAACAAACAGATGGCCTTGCCATGGGATCACCACTCTCCCCTGATATAACATATATATTCATGAAAGATTTTGAACAAAGAGTCCTCTCCTCTACAAAAAGAAATCCAGATTTTATAGACGCTACATTGATAACACATTTGTTATTTGGCATCACAGTCATGAAAATTTACTAGCTAGTGGAGTTATTTCACCAAAATATTGAGGGGGACAAATTTGAACCCTAATTTACATAAAATAGAAAAACTGTCGATGATGTAGCAGTTTCAGAGTTTATACACGAATTGTAAGAATTATGTAAGAGCTAGAAAATTATGAGGAACAAAGAAAACATGGAAATTTCAATTTTGTATATATTAATATTAGTAATTTTCCATAATCTTAGCCCATTAACCAGAAGTTTTTATAAAACAATAAGTAAGGTTTGGGTGGAGTGGCTGCCCCCCTTCCAAAATGACTCCACTCTTACTAGCCTTCTTACAACACGTTAACTCCACAGACAACATAATCCACCTCACCATGGAAAATAAAGAATAAAAACAGCCTGCTATTCTTTGATATTTTCATCAGCAGTTAGAATGATAAACTCAGCACAACAACAGACAGGAAACTAACTCACACTGATAAATAATTAAATCTTCATTCATACCACCAACCTTCTGATAAATGCAGTATTATCAAACCTTGAATGACAGAGGAGAAAATCTGTGATGAAAACTCCATCAAAACTGAAAGCCAATAAGTCATACAGTGTTTTTAAAAGAATGGGCACCTCTCTAGTTTCTATTTTCATCACTAATAGCTTGAAAAACATGAAAATACAAACTGATTTAACAGAGAAAAGGAAAGTGAAATCAACCCTATTTACCTCCGTATATGCAAAACCTGGGTGAGAAGATCAAATTGATGGTCAAAAAGTTAAGCATTGATGTATGTTGGAAATCTTACAAAACACTCAGAACTGTACTTGTCAAAACTAACAAAGAACATTCAGTAACAAACATAGAAACGTCGTTTATGAAGCATCATGTTTCTCTAAACAAATCTAGATCAGAGAAACTGGATGACTTATTGACCAAAAATAAAAACTGCACAAAAACTGATACGAATACCCGTCACACCACAACATGCTCACCCAGTGTCCGAATTAGGACGCTAGTCCTACTCCCGGATATTCACCTCCAAAAGAATCTCAAGAATTTGGAGATGTGAGAAACACCATACGAAACTACTACTACAACAAACACAGAATTCTGCCATGGGAGAACATGGCATTTTCACTGTATATTAAATATACTATAAAGTACAGACACACCAACTCGTATAAAATATGGAAAACAAGAAAAATCAAAGAATCTTCCTACATAACACAATAAAACACACACTAAACAAAGACTCGGGCCTGAAAATCAGCAATTTGTAGCGGCTGCCATTGGTCAAATCATCACATGTTCTACTAACCACATTACAATAACTATCAGGCAATCACGTTAATACACAGAAATATTACATAAATCCCATGCAAAAGCTGGCACAAGCTAACCCGAAAACAAAAGATGGAAGTTTTCTAACATGTTGTTCATTCCATCTGAGCTACTTTTGTAGATTAGTCCTCGGATATTTTCTTCTAAAGTGGCATTCGGAACTAGACAGTTGCTTTTCATTCAACTTTATTTGTTCATTATGAAGACTCTGCCTAAATCATCTGTATGATTGCACTTGATCATCATAAACTAAGATGATTGTGTAATTGAAAAATGAGAGACCAAAAGAGTTTTGTAAGCCTTCCTTTCTGAGCTACTGAGTAAATGTCTTGGTGCAAAATGTCATTTGATGTTTCCAAAGATCTCTTCTGTGATCTAGCTGAATGCTGAGAACTCCATAATACAGTAGATTGGAAGTATGCCAGTTCCACAAGCTAAGAGGAAGTCGTGTTCCTTTGAGGTACAACAGTAACAATAGAAAAAAGTTTAATTATTGCCAGCTAGACTTTAAGTTAAAAAAAAATCTTCATTTGTCAAATCTTGCCATTGATTATATATTTCATGAAATATAAATGAGCAGATTTTGATGTCTCCAAGATGGCATTACCATTGCTACCAAGCGTAACTTCAAAGGGTTACTCAAGCATTACCGAATTGATTCATGTGGTGGATGGAGATGATCTGCATAAAATATTACAGCACTTGCGAACATGTAATGGCAGTATACGTATATAGCAATATAAACATTATATAGAATGATTCATAAGAAGAATGGCCAGGTGGTTAAGGCACTCGACTCGCAATCTGCGGGTCGCGGGTTCGAATACCCGTCACACCACAACATGCTCACCCAGTGTCCGAATTAGGACGCTAGTCCTACTCCCGGATATTCACCTCCAAAAGAATCTCAAGAATTTGGAGATGTGAGAAACACCATACGAAACTACTACTACAACAAAAATGAATCAATGAGACAAGACAGTAAATGACACGGTTGTGAAGAAAAGGATTTGATCTCATTGTTAAGAATTGATGAGTGTGAGGTTAACTGTGACATCTGATCCAGAAATTATTATTTGAAAATACAATGTGCATGTTATTTTCTACCACAGAACTACATGGAAGATCCAGATAGTAACTAACTTAACCACTCACTGAAAGATTAACTGCAACGTACTTCTGGACACAACAAAATAACATCTTGAAATAAATAAATGTATTTTGAAAATTATAGCCAAGGATTATCTTTAAGTGGTCGTGTACAAGATGTCTCAAAGGTCCATGCTCGTATAGAGAATTCTCTATTAATCCTTATCTAAAAAACTGTTCAAATTGCATGCCATCAACTTGCATACATATATCATACACACATTTTCTTGATCTGTATAGTCACCAATTGTACTTATTTTATCTGAAAAATAAATACACAAATATTAATTATGAATAATAAAATGGTCGTCTTTTGAGACACCCAGTATACTTTGTTGTTGTAACGACGTTGTTTGTTTTTTTTTCAAAAGCGGATTATTTTAAATTACCTGATTAAGATAAGTCAGCATCAAGTCCATGCACCAATCACTCCCTTTTTTACGTTTCTGCAAGTTTTAACACTTGCACATTGCCGTAAGTTGTTGTAGACCTACATTAAAAGTGACGTTCAAACCTTTCTAACAAACTAGGATTAACGTAAAATCAATTTGTTCAAAGTATCTCAACGAGCGCGATAACAAACACACATCTAAATACTTCGTGAAAATACACTGAGTGATTCAACTCTCCATCTTTAAACAATTCTACACACTTCACAACTGTCTAGTATTTATAATACAGCTTCACACATACGAATAAAATTTGACGTCAAGTTAGAATTTTCTAGGCCTCTTACCATCATGCGTTTTATAGGTAATATACAAATTATAACAATAAAATAGAGCATTTAAAGATTTTTACAGTCATATTGACTCAATTATTCCTTTCACTGATATATATCGCACATAATTTATGGTTATTTATGAAGTACATTCTATGATTATTGTGAATCAATGTATTTGTTTTTGCTGTTCCAAAGTCCATGTTTTTAGATGTTTAGTTACCTAGCAAAGCCTCTGTCTGCTGGGCATGATGTCTTATCTACACCTCAAAAAATAGAAAGACCACACTACAGCTGAACAGATCAATAAATATTGGAGAAACATCAGACTGCTACGAACAAAAACTTTACTGGTGAAGTGGGAAAGGAAGTTCATATGAAGATTGTCTGAAAAGTTCGTGGCTCGACCTTAAAAAACTGGAATGTATGATTTTTTTGTGATAAATATTAAATTTGAACCTTTTTATGAATAATCAATACTTTACATATAATAACTTAACGAGCTTATTTTGTGTATTGCGGATTTTTGAAGGAAACAAGCGAAGAGTGTCAAACGAAATCCAAGCCAAACCAATTAATTCAGCCAGTTCAAGTTCAGCAGTGTTTTACAATTCTGTATTTTGAACAAATCTCCTGTTTGGAAGACTTAGCTAATATAGTTGTAAAGTATTTTTGGTTCATTTGAAAAGACCATTGAAAAGATAAGGAATAAAAAAGTTTTGAAAATACTAAAGTTGGACAGATATTTTGTACAAACCAAAATCGCTCAATCAAACACTGACCAGGCCCAGCATTAATTGGCTGCGTCACTGGGTTTGGTGGTTAAACAAATGTTCCCTAAAGTTATGCTACTGCTTTTTAAATTATTTATGGGTTTTGAGTTTAGAAACTTTACACCATTCTGAAAAAAACAACAAAGTTTGTTTTTGAATTTCGCTCAAAGCTACACAAGGGCTATCTGCGGTATCCGTCCCTAATATAGCAGTGTAAGACAAGAGTAAAGGCAGCTAGTCATCACCACACACTGCCAACTCTTGGGCTACTATTTACCAACGAATAGTGGGATTGAACGTCACATTATAAAGCTCCCACGACTGAAAGGACGAGCATGTTTGGTCGGATGGTGCCTGTTTTTAAACTACACATAAATGGAGAGCTTGTTTCAGTTAAGATGTGCATGTTAGAACTCCGTGGAAAGTCATTGGTTTGACTAGGTTGATTACTTGGTCTTAGCTTTCGAAATTCGAATAGTGTGACATTGATTATGTAAGAGGCTGTCACGAAATTTATTTTTCCGTTAGTAATATTAATGATTATTTAATGTTTTACGCTGTCAAAGGTTTTTACCTGGTCAAGACCAGCCGAGGCAATGAATTTGCAAAAGCAGTATACAGAGAAATAATACGAGTTGGAAATTGGCCAAGTCAGCTGTATACGCGAGCTACTTTTTCCTTCGCGCGACGCGTCATTCTTTGATTTTGCTCGTGGAGTTAGGATGTTCTTGTGCTGAGTCGTTGTCTCAGTTCTACCCAGCTTAGCAAACATTCACGTTTAGTCACGCCGTTAATCTAAATTTCACCATAAAAGAAATACCCGCCCCTCAAACTATACTATACAGTTATTCCGTAAATTAAAAAAAAAAAAAAAGTCTTATTCATCGTTTCGTTAGCAGCTGTGATGAGATTGGTTTACCAGTGAAAGCAGCCATCAGGGTGCTTAAAGAACTTGACAATATTTTTGTAGAAATCTTAGGTTTTGTATTTTATCAATCTGTTGATAGTGTACACTTACGCTCTACTCTAATTAAACACAAATAGCTTGGAACTTGGTGATCTGATGAAGAGGAACGCTGCAGTGGAAAAGAACATAGGTAAGATACAATCAGGATAAGTTTGTTTGTTACGGATTTCGCGCAAAGCTTCACGAGAGCTATCTGTCCCTAATTTAGCAGTGTACGACTTGGGCTACTTTTTTACCAAGGAATAGTGGGATTGACCGTCACATTATAACGCCCCCACGGCTGAAAGGGCGAGCATATGTGGTGTGACGAGGATTCGAACCCGCGACCCACAGATTGCGAGTCGAGCACTCTAACCACCTGGCCATGCCGGGCCGTCAGTATAATACAGTGAAGGATTTCGTATAGTTCAAAATCAACAAAAGAGTTCATAATATTTTGATCGCGTGGCTTTGTTTGTAGTTAAGTACAAAGCTACACAATGGGCTATCTGTGCTCTGCCACTATAAGTCCGCAGACATACCAATGTGCCAATGGAGGGCAATTGCTAGACATAACACATAAAACAGTATTTATAATTTGATTTCAGAAATTTTTTTGTCAGTTTTCGGATTAACAGAGAAGAATCATGCGCTACAGGCCATGTTTTCTTAGCGTTTAGAATGAGGTGTTACATAGTTTGTCAGTTGAAATATTGTATACAGTCTTGTAGAACTAAATATAGCTTTGTTTTACTGATGGTATAATTATGCAGACTATTGTTCTCGTCTTCATTATGTGTACTATTAATGTGCATTATCATTTTCACAACTTTTCGACCAGTGAATTCTCGTCGTCCAGCTGTCGTCCGGTATTATATCTGACATTTTTTATGCGCCACAATCAGAAAGCTTTTGTGGAATTACCAGTATTCCAACCGCCGAATCTGTGATCCCGAATACGGGCACTCTAACCACAGGTTCGGGAGTTCGAATCCTCGTAATTCCACAAAATCTTTCTGGTTGTAACGCATGAAAGCATTATCCCGAATATGGGCACTCTAACCACAGGTTCGGGGGCTCGAATCCTGGCATTTCCACAAAAAGCTTTCTGGTTGTGAGGCATATATAAAAAAAAGTCTGATATAACACTTGATGACGGCCAAAAAATTCACTGGTCGAAACGTTGTGAAAATAATAATACACATAATAAAGACGAGAACAATAGTCCGAATAATTATACCATTAGTAATACTAACACCTCGTCTCGATCATTCCCCAAAACTATAGCTTTTTTGTTTATAATTTTCGCGCGAAACTATACAAGAGCTATTTACACAAAGTCGTCCTTAATTTTGAACTAATAGACTATAGAGGTACCTCTAGGTTACTCTTGTATAGTCAAATAGCGGGATTTGACCGCACTCTTGTAGTGCGCTCAACAAAAGTACCTAAATTGCGAACCATGAACCTTCCTAAAGATGAGCTAATAAAATGAAATGAAAAGTCGGAGTGGATGTGCGTCTTTATCTAATTGAGTGATCGGAGGTTTAACACAGTTATGTTTGTTTGTAATTAAGCACAAAGCATCACAATGGGCTATCTGTACTCTGCCCACCACGGGTATCGAAACCCGGATTCTAGCGTTGTAAGTCCGCAGACATAACCGCTGTGCCACTGGGGGGCACACAGTTATGAAACAGTGAACAGTCTCACCATTCTTAATGTGCACCACGGGTATCGAAACCCGGATTCTAGCGTCGTAAGTCCGCAGACATAACCGCTGTGCCACTGGGGGTACACAGTTATGAAACAATGAACAGTCTCACCATTCTTGTTTTATATCGCTATCGAAAACAATAAATCTTAAATCACTCCAATTAAGTGGATAATACAAATCAAATGCGAAAAAATGCCAACTTTATAAACGGTATACATTATATAGATAATGAAAGAGTGTGAGTGAGAGAGAGAGAGATGGGAGGGACCTATCCTTAACAATATAATACTGAAATATCTCAACAATGTAAACAAACAAAGTGAATAACAGCTTCCTGAGGAAAAAGTTGGACTGTTAGTCACGTGACCATTGGTGCTTATTTTCAAGTAATGAAGCATGGTTGGAACTACTAGAAACATGGGGTTTTACTGAGTCACTGTTAGGAGCAGACCTTGAGCTGAGAGTTATGTACTTCAATTTCATAAACTCCAAAAAATATTCCACTTTAGTTCCACTTAAAGCTGTCAAAATGAGGTTAAGGATTTTAAGAAGTATGTCACTTATACAATTAACCTGGAGAAAAAGTACCTACTTTTCATTTCTACCTTTTAATTTTGTCAGCACTGAACTTATAATTACGAGGAGATAGGTATAAGTTAAAGAATTATAATGTCTTTCGTAAAATGTAATGCAAACATATATACGTAACCTAAAACATCAACTATGAAATGTGTCGCATTTACCGAATTAACTCAGCGTTTTGTTTGTTCGTTTGCACTTAAGCACAAAGTTACACGGTGGCTGTGCTGTGCCCACTACGGGTATCGATGCTCGATTTTTAGGGTTATAAGCCTTTAGTTTGTTTGTTTGTTTTGAATTTCGCGCAAAGCTACACGAGGGCTATCTGCGCTAGCCGTCCCTAATTTATTAGTGTAAGACTAGAGGGAAGGCAACTAGTCATCGCCACCCACCGCCAACTCTTGGGCTACTTTTTTACCAACGAATAGTGGGATTGACCGTC